ACATGGATAAAACCTCTTGTAAGACATTGGCATGGTTGTGAGGATAATATTAAAATGCATCTTAATTTGACAAACAGAGTTCAGAATTATAAGCTCGATTCAGCTGGCTCAGGATGAGTTCCTCGGTGAGTTATGGTGAAGGCGGAAATGAATCTTCGAGTTCAGTAAAAGCAAGGAATTTCTTGGCTAGACGAGCAGCCGTAATCTTCTCAAAAAGGCTCTTCTGCATGCAGTAATTCATTTTATTTCCAGAGCAGGAAAAGAGCTGGTACATATCTAATATGATAACTAATAAGAAAGCTGTAATCGCATTTTCCGAACTTCTGGAAGACGATTTAGTGATCAAGGGATGACGTTACAAGGTCACTCGCCTTTCACGGCAATCACTTGATTGCTGGAGTGTGACGTCACGTCCCCGTCACGATCCCAAAGATGAAATCGAGCGTTGCGTAACCAATAGGCATCACAAACAATGTTGGGATGTTGGACCGATCTCCATTGCCGAATTAAACGCTTTGTAACCCAAACAAGAAGAGACCGATGCAGTTACTGAGATCAGAATTTAACTAATCTTAAGAGAGGATATGTACACACTCCATTATCAAGCACACAATTACGTGTTCTTTCATTGTCCCAATGTTTCCCAACAATTCTTAGTATTAAAGGGCTTACTATAAACGCCGATGAATAGGCTACTCCTTACCTTCCCATACAGACAAGATAGAACTCGTTCTGTTGATAGATTTATACGGAAGAACTGGTGGTACTTATTAAGATCAGCTGATAGAAACTACTTAAGGATTCACTAAACCATATCTGTTTTGTAACACAAAGGAATATGACTCTTTATTATTTAGGAAAAGAGAACAATGAACTACACATGCACGTAAGTTTAATCCTTGAAAGGGTGAGAATAACATAGCAGTAAATTGCTGCTGGTCCTCGCAAGCACAGTTGTACTTCGTTTCGGGCTCTGTCGGGATTCATTACCAAGGTTTTATTCTTTCCAAGGACATTGATATGTTTGAAAATGGGGCCTCCTCTCGAAAAGAGAATGGGTTGGTCTTTCTGAGAAGTTTAAAGAGCAAACTTCTTGTAAACAACATATAAAAGCGCTGTTTGTCTCTCGCAGGAAACATATTACGTCTCCTCTACAAAGACCAACAGATTAAAGCTTATCAGGGAGGCAGTCGCTGTTCAATATGAGAACCAAAAATAAAAATAGAAACCTCCGTGGCCTATAGTCCGCAAACGAACTATACCGACTGAGCGACCGCCGCTTGTCGGCGAAGTTAGTGCCAAATTTAGCGAATAGAGGGTGTAGCGTGGTCAGCGCAACGGATCCCCATGGCCGTTAATCTGAGGTTTCTAGACCGGAGCCGCTATTTCCTTGAAACTGCTCCTCAATTATGCTCAAGAGGTTGAGTGGACCTCAGTATGAGAATCGTAAGACAAGAGTACACACTGTGGGTAGAATGCAGAATTTCAGGATGTTAAAGCACGTAGCACATCTAGAACCACTGGACATTTAGAGGATAATTTATTTTTTTTATTTTCAACTACAATTTCTCAACTCTAAATTTTGGCTAGGTACGAGTATCATGAGCCAGGGTAGCCTGATGACTGAATTCGGTTGCAAGCAAGGGCAAGATTTCTATGTGTGCCACCAAAAGCAAAACTTCCATCCGCCCTCTGTTCAGTGTTATTGCAGCCCTGCCCTCAGGGGTAGAACGGGTAGCTTGTAAACCTGAGTACCCGGCGTTGGAAGAGCGCAAGAAAACAATGCGTAATGTTTCAGCGAACTGTTTCTGTACACTTTTGTGGTGTGTTGCTTTGACACAGCAGTGACTTTACATTAGGAGCTACAGCTTCCCACGTTAAAGTACATGGCTTCATAGCGTCCTCAGGTTCCGGATAGGTGAGACAGCCTTCATATATAACGGTAAGGTACTTGCTTGCTTACTTAAGGAACTGAGCCCATTTTGAAAAGAAGCCAAACCTGTAGCTACTCAAGAATTTCCCAGCATTTTATGGAACCCGAAGGTTCATTACAGTGTGTACAAGAGCCTTCCATTAGTGCCTATCCTTAGCCAGATCAATCCAATCCATACCATCCGATTCCGTCTGAAAAATTCTGAATTTTTAAACGGCCAATAATCGAATTTTACATGGAGCTAAATATAAGATTTAGGAGTTAAAAATTTTCGAGACACATTACAAATCTAGTCATGTCGGGAAACACAATCTTTTCCTTAATTTCTGATTAATGTTGGTTCTGTGGGCATAAGTGGGAACTCCGTCATACGCACGCTGTGTTCACTACTCCTATATAAAAATATGCATGTATATCATCATTTGGGATTTGAGGTTCTCACACCGCTGGAATATAATGTCATGTTGTCCGTTGAAAGCCTACCTATGTTTCGGAGGAAAACTTCGCCTCCACTTTCAGGGTCAAAGAATAAGCCAAGCAAGAAGCCAGCATGAAGCATGTAGCAAGTAGAGCTCTCAGTGCTTATTCTCTGGCCTGATCTATGTTCCCCAGAAACGTCGGTTGACTTCCAACGGACTACAAGAAGTTATATCCCAGAAGATAGAACTATTCATACATCTTCATATTTTGGTTTTCTCGTTTCTGACATTGACAAGTCTTGCAGGTGGGTACACAGGCTGCCTCTATGTTCAGAGTTTAAATTTGTAGGACTCGGAATCAATTACACTTTATAGGCACGTCGCACTGAATACGAGGGCTACAGTTTCCTTCGAAACTTCGGTATCCATCCACAATCTGGAAACCCAATTTCTGAGCATTCACTAGCATGAAAACCTCAAAGGAATATATGGCACAAGACATTGGTGAGAGCCAGGTCAAGGACATATAAAGACTGAAAAGAGTTCTACCTGTCTTATAGGCTGTAGCAATCTAAAACAATACTGAAATTCTGAAAACAAATAGTCGCTTCGTTTGATGCCAGTTACTACAGTCTGTTCCCACAGCCATTCCTTTCGATTTTTTTTTTTGATTCTAAAGGAAGAAACAGCCGGTCACGGTAGCCGAGCGGTCTAAGGCATGCACTGTTTTCGCTCGCTTGGAAGCCGGGATCGTGGGTTCGAATCCCACTCAGGGCATGGATGTTTAGTTTGTGTGTGTGCGTTTTTCTGTATTTGTGTACAGGTAGAGGCCTTGCGACGAGCTGATCACCCGCCGAAGGAGTCCTACCATATGTGTAAGATCTAGAAAAATGGAAGTGAACGGAGAAGTTCATGGAGGTAGGCCTAGGCCCACTGGGGCTGTAGTGCCAAGGAAGGAAAAAAAAAAGGAAGAAACAAGGAGCTTTATAACTTGTACTCTTCTTCAAAAGATAATTAGAATCATCAAGTCAAGAAGATGAGATGGGCATGTAGCAGGAATGCCAGAGAAGAGGAATGCATATAGGATATTGGTGGGAAAGCCAGAAGAATAGAAACCACTTGGAAGACCAAGGCGTAGGTGGGTGGACAATATTCAAATGGATCATAGAGGGGAAGGAATGCATTGGATTGTTCTGGCTGAGGATAGGGACCAGTGGATGGCTCTTGTGAACATGGTACTGAATTTTCTGGTTCCATAAAATGCTGGGTAATTCTTGAGTAGCTGCAGATTTGGCTTCTCATCAAGAAGGGCTCAGCTCCATAAGTAAGTAAGTAAGTAAGTAAGTAAGTAAAGGAAGAAACGTAAAACAGTGATTTAATCACATTAAATACGAGTATGTTCTTCTTATTGAGCATTCCAGCAAACGTGTAAGATCTAAAAGTGTATTGAAGATTACATTCCAGAATATGACACGGAGTTTTACGAATGATTTCAGGAGGAATAATTGCAAGCTTATGGATAACTATAATCAGGATATAAAATAATTATATTATTTAACATATAAGCCTGCCATTTATTACAGCATTCATAAATTGGAGCCATTCTCTTCGATATTAAGTTCTTGTGCATGGATTTAGATACAATTTAAGATGTGATGCTTCACTGAAGAGAAAAAAAATGGGAACTTCTTTGAATATTTCATTCCGCAAAATCCTCCACGATTACATTAAAAAATATCTATATCATCTAATAATACTGGCATTTTATTTAAATATAAATTTAATTTAAAAGCGAGACTTTAATGATACAACTTGTGAGCTGTATTTAAATCTCCAGATTACTATGCTTCTTTCTTGAGATTAACAGTTTTCTTTCTTTCTTCTTTTATTTATAGTATGAGACATTTTTCCCATTAAATATTTAGCGTTTATCTGAATAATGAGCCAATCAGTGTAACAAATGTAATAGAGCAGATCAAACTATGAGTAGAATTACTGTGATTTGGGGATTTTTCTATCGCCCGTATTCTAGAGAATAGAAAACGCGACGTTTCGGAAACTGGATCTGTTTCATGTTCTCAAACTATATGTGTTGCCTTGCTTGTTTAGGTCCCTTGGAGTTCGTTATGTGTTTATACGAGTACAAAGAAGATCTAAGGAATTATACTTTTATTTACAAAATTTTTAACATACATTTTTTATAAATAATCTTTGGAACTTATATCTGTGAACCATATTTGAAGATCTACAGCAAGTATGAAACTAACTTGCTTTTACTGTCATGCCTCTTGGAATGACCAAATAAAGCCGAAACACGTAAAGTTAGACATTTAATTTGATCTGGTCTACTAAATTTATTACACTGTACGACTTATTATTACACTAATATTTTTCCTATTATGAATCACTGAATTCTTTAAATGTATACGATTAATCACATGACAATATATTTTGTAATTATTCGATAAAATACTTACACTGTATGGTTCAAAGCGTCGAATTTTCGAAACAAATATATATAAAGTTAAAGACATAAAATTAATTTGTTTCCTCAAACAGAAACGTTGAGCAGACAAGGGCTCTATTCCATCATAACTTCACAATAACCATATCAAAATTAAGAAAATATTAGAATTAATTTAACTTACCCAAGGAAATTTCGATCCATATCTTCTTATCAAGTATTCCTGTAACAAGATAGGAAACCAATCACAATCCATCTGAGCAAATAAGTATATGTCGATATTCTGTTACGCCTTATTCCTCTGAAATCAAAATTGTATCCTGCGGAGGCGTTAAAATTCTTTGAGTAATTCATGAGACGTCCAAATTAACGCCTCCTTTGTCGATTTGACTAATAGTTACAAGGAAAATGTTGCGTTACAGCACTCAGTCTGATTGGCGTCAATGATTTAAACATCAAGTTTACTTAAGTGATTCCAACAACTCACATTTCCCTGTACTCCAACATATTTCCGATTATTTAGACTGCCCTAAGCTACCCTGTAGAAAAGTTTTATCTCCTTGTCACACACGAATAAGAAGGCACATTTCTAATCGGGCTTTTCAAGAAAAATGGAGTGTCACTCTTTATTTCCATCCTCTCAAGGCCTCAGGAAGGGCTCGCTTTTCTCACAGTTCCAATTCCATGTTTGATGGTAATGTTGTGATGACATCTGTGGTCTAGTGGTCAGAGTTCCTGGCTACAGATCCAGACGTGCCGAGTTTGATTCCCGGCACTACCACATTTTCTGAGAAGTGGTGGGTCTGGAACGGGGTTCACTCAGTCTCGTGAAGATAACTGAGGAGTTATTTCAAGCAAATAGCGGCTTCGGTCTAGAAATCCGAGATTAACGGCCATGAGGATTCGTTGCGCTCACCACGCGACACCCTCTATCCTTAAAAGTTGGCACTAAGTTTGCCGGCAAGCGGCGGTCGCTCGATCGGTATAGTTCTCTTGCGAATGGAGTTAGTTTAGTTAGATGGTAAGGATGTGGACCTGAAAAGGGCCGTTCTTTATGTTCACCGTTCTTACTTGTATGGTCCTGGATTCTGTCTCTTCTTCCCCTTGTTGTGGGTGTGCGTGAGCTCTTCTTTACAGTCTGCCTGCACAACAAAACAGACACCTCAACGTACACACTCCGACAATGAGGAAGAATGTAGCCCCTTGTTTCGAAAACATGATATCCACATACAAGACTACGCGGCATCACAATTGAGAAGTTCACAATCTCTACAATCGTCGCCGTGTGAACCTCAGAACTTACGTGAATAAGAATGGTGATTCTGCCTCCTGAGATTCAAATTTAGAGGAAATACTTGCCGAAGTCTCGTTTAGAAGAGGATGTCAGAAGTACTGTGCATGATATGACTGAAATTCTGGTTAAGATTCACACAGCAGTTCAATTTCGGGCCAGTTAGTCTGCAGAGTGATTTAAGGATGGCTCGCGAGTGTCGTGGAAACCCACTGTATACAGTCACAAAAAGGTTAAACCCTCTCTGATACCTACTTACCACTAGGCGCTACAGCCCTGGGTGAGCCTTGCCTCCTCTACAACCAGACTCCACTGCTCTGTATTCCTTATCTCTATCCATCCTTTCGCCTTCATCTTCTTCAGGCCGTTCTCAACATCGTCTGGCCATCTCATCCTGGGTCTTCCTTTTCTTCTTTTGGAATATAGCCTTCATTTTAATATTCTCTTTGGCATTGCATTATCTTCCATTCTTTCGACATGTCCCAACCAACTTATTCTCTGTGACCTGATAAATCTTACTCTATCTAAAGTCCTCACTGACACCAATACAAAATATTCTTCCTATTCTCATCCCGTTCCTGGTGATGGCACCATATAAATATATGATATATTTCGGAGGTTATTAGTCTCTCTATCTTCAAGACAATCTTTGTACTGATTTTGAGTTCCATAGGCCGATGTGAATTGGGAAATAAAGCTTGAATCTACAAGATGTATCTCCTAGAAAAAGTATAGGAATTAGTATTTAATAAAAATTTAAGCCTAATATTTCCTATATTTCCTGTTTAATTATCCAAAATTCTTCATTACTTCATACAAGATTTCTTTCAGATATTAGCGAACGTTTATCACCAGGGCCCGGATTTTGATGACATGTCATCTTTCCTTCCTTGTATCCTCTGCGATGCTCTTAAATATATAATTCTCGGATATGAGCTGCCGGTTACAGGAATGTAAATTTTATAGGTATTTTTTGTCATTTTTTTGACATTTTTAGGTTTAAGGTATTTTTTTCATTTTGGGGGTAACGTTTTGGTAAATTTTTGGACTTTTAAGGGCATTTCTGGTCATTTTTGGCAATTTTAAGGAATTTTTCTTCATATGTTTTCTGAAATGTTAATAACATGAAGCGAAGTGTTCTTTCTTTTCTCATTTAGGTAATTTTTTCTGGATTTTCCGTCATGTTATAGGCCATTTTTTTAATATTTTCAGGTCATCAAAATCCGGGCCCTGCATATTACATTTTTGGGTCATATTGTAGGTCATTTTTCTGGATTTTTTCGGTCATCTTATAGGTTATTTTTAAAATATTTTCAGGTCATAAAATTCTGGGTCTTGTTTATCACTGTATCAGTATAGGATTATATTCTGCTCATCAAAATATATTATTTCGTACAACATTAGAACTGGAAGAACATTCATAACCTTCACAATTCCTGTATTTTTGGACTTTGTCCATTGTCCCGTACTCTGAAAACTATCAACAGACTGATGATAACCGTGTTCTGAACCACCGAAGCCCACGTGGCTGATTCTGCTTAAACATTAATTGTCCACAGTTTTTTGAACCATTCTCGTTTCACATTGCAAAGGCCTACACAAACGTGTTGATGTGTGGATGGATACGCTTTTAAACAGGCTTTCTCATCAAAATTCTGTACGCATTTTGTGTCCTCTATCCCAGCTGCCTGTCGAGTAGATTGTAAGCTCTTAGACTTAACTCTGTTCTCAGTACCAGGTGACATAATTTCAAATGTTGCCTAGATAATTCAAAATAGTCCCTCCGTTTCAGAGATTTTTATACTCACTTAACAACAGAGGATATTTTGAGGTGAATAGTTATTAACCACATAACAAATCCTCAAATTTGACCATCGCCTCTGATTGGCTGTCCACAGCTGCTTATTCAATGTATTCGTAACGTAAATGTAAACATGACACTTAATTAAACACCAAGATATTCGAGGGGCTGGAGGTTTAGCTCCGCCGGTCACGGTAGCCGAGCGGTCTAAAGCATGCGCTGTCTTCGCTCGCTCGGAAGCCGGGATCGTGGGTTCGAATCCCACTCAGGGCAAGAATGTTTGTGTGCGTTTTTCTATGTTTGTCTACAGGTAGAGGCCTCGCGACGAGCTGATCACCCGCCCAATGAGTCCTACCGTATGTGTAAGATCTAGAAAAACCGAAGTGAACGGAGTTCATGGAGGTAGGTTTAGGCCCACTGGGGCTATAATGCCAAGGGGGGGGGAGGTTTAGCTTCACACTCTCTCATCCTTGGTGCTAGTTGGAGATGAATGATCAGCTTCGACCCCGGCTGCTTCATGTCCGCAGAAAGAGCTGCCGTTTTCGACAGGATACGAGAATGTTTGGGCCCCAATTTTAGTCAGAACGCTGTGCGAAATAAAATAACCGAACGCCGATCCCTCAGTAATCCACTTGATAATCTAGTTTCTGTACCGAGCCAGGCATCTGAGTGCTATCTAATATATTTGTGCCTAAAAGTAAACAAGTAAATTTGCCCTATACCTAATTAATTAAGCATTACGCCATCAAGACGTGTGGGGGAGCGGAGGTATAGCTTCATCATTCTTGAGCTCGGCACTAGATGGAGATGAGTGGTCGTATTCACGCCCCGGCCTCTTTAATTCTGGGAATCAACCCACGTTACACATTGTGTAGGAGGCTGGGTGGGCCTCAGAGCCGGTTTACACTTTATGGAGAAGATAAATATGTCTTACTCCTGCCGAAAATCGAACCCCAGTCGCCCAAGCCGTAGCCCATCTCTATATTGACTGGGCTGTCCGAGTTATAGTATTCGTGCCTACCCTACAAATTCGAAGGACGTCTTTTCCATCTGTAATCTGAGGACGCGTCGTGTCATATAACAAGGGGCCCACATATTGAACATGAAGCGGAAAGCAGCTCCGGTAACATTGCATGGAACTGGTACTGTTGGAAGATTATCTCTAGATGGTAACTGGCCTCCTGGTAGGAGTATACTCAATGACAAGCCCCAAGAAAGGAGCTCTGTTTGGATAATCTCTCATTGTCAGATTGAGTGATAAATCCACGGCAAAGAATCTTTCTTTAAAACTGTTATTCACAAGGTCAATACATTCTTCTACTTTACGGAATCAGATAACTAATCACCGCGCTTGCAAAATCCCTCAATTTAATTTCAATCCTGCGCCAACTACAAACAGTCCTAGTGAACACATCATGTTTCCCTAAGACCCGTTTTAATATTGTGACATGAAGCTAGAACACCGGACTAGTGGAGCCAGAGCGGAAGTCTATTTCTAGCCAACTTCTAGACAGACACACGTCCCGCAGCAATGAACAGACGTGGAAGTCCACTGATAGGCAACGGTTCGGTAAGCACGTTCCCGTGACAACGGTCAAGCAACAGACATTCTCTATGGTTACCGATAGACTGTATAAGGAGCCGTGCAAATAAGAACGATTGTCATTGAAGCCAGTCGTAGTAGAAGAAGTGGGCGATTCGTAAATCAGAAGCAAGTCAGTCACAGTGGAAGATAAGATACTCGTAGTCCAGTAAGGAATGGAGCGAGTCTTAGGCAGTTAGCTGTTGTATTTTGTTGTACTCACAATTGTAAAGAAGTGCCAATAAATGCAATCACTTAATCCAGAGTCCGTTATAATCGTCACGGAACCCCGGACATATGTCAATATTGTCTCCTATTTCAATCCTAAGTTTCTCAACTAGTCCAGTTCCTTCAGATTTTTCGGACAAGATTTGTTAAGCACTCCTCGTTCGCCTAACGCAGCCCACAGATGCCGCCCGTGTTGCCTCTGATGTCTTAATATCTTACAACTACTTCTACCATAACTGCCATATCATTAGCTACTCATATATGTGTATTGTTTCGTACAGCCGGTCACAGTAGCCGCGCGGTCTAAAGCATGAACTGTCT